CTAGTTCAGTATTACCTCATTTTAACCTGATAATACCTACAAAGATCCTATTTCCAAATAAGGATGCCAGGGATTAGGATTGGAAGATATTTTTCCAGGTACACACAATTCATCCTATAACAGTACATTAATTCATCCATCAAAGAATCATGTATTAAGTTGTAATTGCCTTTAAAGAGCTCACAATCTAATAGAGAAGACATATTTAAACAGATCACTCTATTACAATGTGGTAAACACAATAATGCTGATATGCACATATTATTATGGACACACAAAGAAGAGTCAGCTAGCCTAACAGAAAGCAGACAAAGGTTGAACCTTGGATAAAATTAGAAAAATGAGGAGGAACAACAACAACAGTTTCTTGGGATTTAAATCACTCAGTGCTTTGTTTTATAATTTTATTAATTTAACAAATGATCTCTAGTTTGGGTACATCCAAAGGGAAACATCCCATCTGAAGTTACCAATAGGAGTTCTGTACAGTTATGTAGCAGATATAGATATGGGAGAGAGCTACAAAGAGGAAAGAATTTAATATGTATCCTGTCCCTCCTTCCATTTTATACCAAATTTCTGGGATCATTTTCTTTTTTTCTGAAGTTCAGCCTTTAAAATTCAATTTTTGTTTACCTTTAAAGATAATTTGATGAGGCCGGGCGCGGTGGCTCACGCCTGTAATCCCAGCACTTTGGGAGGCCGAGGTGGGTGGATCACGAGGTCAAGAGATCGAGATCATCCTGGTCAACATGGTGAAACCCCGTCTCTACTAAAAATACAAAACATTAGCTGGGCATGGTGGCACGTGCCTGTAATCCCAGTGAGGCAGGATAATTGCCTGAACCCAGGAGGCGGAGGTTGCGGTGAGCCGAGATCGCGCCATTGCACTCCAGCCTGGGTAACAAGAGCAAAACTCCATCTCAAAAAAAAAAAAAAAAAAAAAGATAATTTGATGAGCACACAATTCTAGGTTGACATTTATTTCTCTTAATGTTTTAAAGACATACTTCTCTCGTTTTTTGGCCTCTATTGTTGTTTTTGAGAAGTCTGCTGTCATTCTGATTGTCCTTTTTCTGTGGCTGCTATGAAGATCTTCTCTTTGCCTTTAGGTGTCCTGCATTCTCACTGCTGGTGTCTGGGTATGGGTTTTGTTTTTTGGTTGTTGTTGTTGTTTTGATTTGTCATTCGGACTAGAGTGCAGTGGCGTGATCTTGGCTGACTGCAGCCTCTACCTCCTGGGCTCAAGCGATCACCACTTCTCACCTCCCCAAGTAGATGGAACTACAGGCATGCACCACCACACCTGGCTAATTTTTGTATTTTCAGTAGAGATGAGGTTTCACCATGTTGTCCAGGCTGGTCTCGAACTCCTGGACTCAAGCAATCTGCCCACCTCAGCCTCCCAAAGTCCTGGGATTACAAACGTGAGTCACTGCATCTGGCTGGATTTCTTTTTGTTTAACCTACTGGTATATATGTTGTGCTTCCTGGATCTCTGTATTCATGATTATCATCAGTTCAGGAAAATATACAGCAATTATCATTTTAAACATAGCTTTTTCTTCATTCTTTGCATTCTGCTTCTGGGCTCAGATTAGATATATTAGGCCTTATTATCTTAATATCTTTTTATATATTCTTCATATTTTCCATTTCCCTTGGTAATTTCTTTGTATATATTTTCCAGTGTGCTAATTCTTTCTTCACTGTGTTTAATATTAAGATTCTAATTTCTTAAATTTCCTTTTCCCCCCAGTATGCTTGTTCATTCCCAGTAGGCCCTTAGTACTTTCTTATCTTGGTGATTGGATCATTTTCTTCTTGAAGCATTTCACACATTGCCATACTACATTCTATGTCTTCTTTGTGCCAGCAAAATGTATGTTCTACACAGGGCCAGTATCACCCTTCCAGTCAATCCTTGCATGGGTGCAAGATTGGAGGACTCTAAGGTACCTGTCTGCCACCCCATGGCAAGGGACCGGGAAATAGAATGTTTGGATTTTCTCTGGAGAAAAGCATTTTACATAATGCTTATAAACAGCACAATCTCTGTGGCTTCTTTTTTCTTTGGAGTTTAAGATCTTGTGGATAGGGAGTACTTTAAACTTTGCTTAGCTGATCCTTGCTTCTCAGTAAATAGTAAATCAATCTCCATCATGGTTTCAGAAACTCTAAAACAACTAATTTCGTCCAAGAATGTATACCAGTTTGGAGAATGATGTTTTGGTCTCTATATTTAGCAGTCAATGTATAATAATAATTCCTATATAAATGTGAGTTAGTATTGTTTTCAAAACATTCTCATACCACAAGGTGTGGTGGCTCATGCCTATAATCTCAGCACTTTGGGAGGCCAAGGCAGGAGGATCACTTGAGGCCAGGAGTTTGAGACCAGCCTGGGCAACATGTCAAGACCCCATCTCTACAAAAAATAAAAATAAATACCTTGGCATGGTGGTGCATGCCTGTAGTCCCAGCTACTTAGGAAGGCGGCTGAAGTGGGAGGGATCTCTTAAGCCCAGGAGATTGAGGCTGCAGTGAGCTGTGATTACAACCACTGCACTGCAACCTGAGTGAGAGAGATCCTGTCTCAAAAAACAACAGCAAAAAAGAACAAAAAAACCTTCTCACACTTGTTATCTTGTTAAAGGTTAAAGGTGAAAGTGAATTTTAATGACTGTAGTTTTGATTTGAAACCCTTGGCAAGAACTCCTCTTCTGGAATCCCAGGAAGAAGGAAAAACAGTTATTTACACGTAAGTCTGCTCTTCCATAGCTTTGCTCTTCTTTCACTAAGATGCTAGGCTGAGCTGCCACCCCCTGCCATCCTTTCACGTTGCTGAGACAGTACTGAGGCACACACCAGGCTGGATGGCGGCAGGACACCGGGCATCTCCCACCACTGTGTCTGGTGAGGTGGCAACACTCCCCAGGCTTTTCTGGTCTGAAAGAACAAGTAGCTAACACAGAAATAACAAGCGCAGAAATGGAAAAAAAAATTGTTAACAACTTGTACTAAAGCTAAAAGGGTAGGAGATTTAAAATTGAATTGGAGTAGGATAAATGGAGTTTGGGACTGGTTTTGGTGGGTAGTAGTATTACAATATTGTGCCCAGAGTGAAAAGATGCTATAAACAGAGAAGTGGTACATACTATCAAATACTAAGCATGTAATGTGGGGAATCATCTCAGCTAACTAGTTATAGAATTAAAAGTAAGAGATGTCTCTACATAAGTACGTAACTTATAACTATCTGGTTAAAAGTAGTGCTGTCCCTCAGATATTGCTGGAGGGAGTGTATAATGGTGCAGCAACTTTGGAAAACAGCATGGCAGTCTCTCAAGATGTTAAACATTAAATTATTATGTGACCCAGTAATTCCACTCCTGGGTTTCTACTCAGGAGTAATGAAAACATATATCCACATAGAGGCTAGGACATGGATGTTCATAGCATAATTATTCAGAACAACCAAAAAAGCAGAAACAACCCAAATGTCTATCAACTGATGAATGGATAAACAAGATGTGGTATATCCATACAGTGGAATATTACTTGGCAATTGTAAGGAAAGAAATGCTGATACATGCTGCAACATAGACGAACTTCAAAACCATTGTACACTGTGAAGGGAAGCCAGTAACAAAAGCCTATAGTATTTTTTTTTTATAGAGAATGTTCAGAAAAGGCAAACTATAAAGACAGAAGGTAGATAGTAGTTGCCTTGGGCTGGGGATGGGAGTGGAGAGTGACTTAATGAGCATGGGGCCTTGGGGTTGATGAAAATGTTTTAAAATAAGATTGTGGTGGTGGTTGCATAACTCGGTAAATATACTGAAAACCATTGACTTGTATACTCAGAATGAGTGAATTTTATGGCATATAAATTATACCTTATTAAAACTGTTGATAACAATAAAAAAAGAACCTAGGAAGGTAGAAGAAAAATGAGCTTATATGACTGTTTCTAGGAGATCAGCCTTCAATTCTCTGTTTCTAAAAAGTGCCCAAAGTAAGCTGCAGTAGTTCCCTTTTACTGAACAGCTCGGAATTTGTTGAATAAATATAGTGTGGCAGAAGCCGGAGGGCTTTTGGAGATGCTGGTATGACCAGCAGAGAGAATGACTAATTGTCTCCTGAAGACCTGGGAGCTGGTTGATGGCTGGGGTGGGCACTGGCCAACATGGGCTTACTGTCCTTGAGGTGTAGTTTAACCATTTGCTGGGTGTCTCTTGAATAGGAGCCACAATTGAGGGAAAAATGGAAGTGTCCAAACTAAGCCCTATTCCCTTGGTAGCTGAAGGCCTTAAAAGATAGAATGATTGATTGAAAAAATAGAATTGAGAATCATTCTTATATATTAGGGTCCAAAGGAGTAAGTTCCTTTGCAATCCCTAATTGCCAGAGTCTCAAATAAACCTGCTAGGGTAAGATTTTAGGATAATCAGCATCTTAATTCTATTTAATTTTGATAAATGATATAAAAAGAGAGATTTTTTTCTCAAATACACCTTCTAGCAGAGCAAGACCCACATGTGAAGGAGAATATCGCATTGCGGGAGTAATGGGGGCTTATGTTTTAGACTAGAGGCTTAAGACTAGACTCCCTCTGGAAGAAGGAGGAAGACTGGATTCTCTTCTGTGAATAAGGGTAGCATTGCAATTCTGGCAGCAGGGGTGGAAAAGTCATATTTGTCTTTGGCAGAGTTAGATCTTCTCAGGGAAGGCAAACTGGATAACCCTGTGAGGGGTCATTCACTCCAAAGGACCCAAAGCTGTTTGATTCAGCAGCACAGAGGTTACAGACGAAACTATGACTACAGCAAGACAATACTATTTATTTGGGTTTATTTTCACAAAAAAAGTATACGTTTATTTTCACAAAAATACATAAATTCACATAGAACTCATCAACTTCAAATTTAAATAAAAATAAGTGCTACAATTGAGTTGAGAGTTAAGAGAATTCCTTCCTTTCTGGTTCCTTCCTGCAGAAACAAAGGGTCATCCTGTCTAGAAAAAGAACCGTTGTGTTATCAAAAGGCAAAGAATCCAAGTGCCAAAGAGGCCACCTCTGAAGGGCATTTTTCGTCCTTGAGCTTCAGCCAGGAGGGGAAACGGAAGGAAGACCAGGATGGGTAAGAGATGGGGCCGTCCCATTTCGTAATACATAAGGCGGCAATCGCCGATACCAAAACCTGAGCACCTGGGAACTCTCTCTGTATGGCAGGCTTCCAAGAAGAGAGGAGGTAGTGGGGGATAGGTTAGAAGCAGCTGAGGGGCAGGTGCCCTTTATTCAGAGGGAACAGAGAGAGCTGCCCGGGCCCCCTGGTGGAGCCACGTGATGGGAGTGCCCCTGGTGGGTGGGCCATGCTGTCCAGGATTTCCCCAGCTCCTCTCTCGTTCCACCATCTCCACCCTGTCTCTACCATTTACCACTTGGCATAGCCAAGCCAGGCCCCACATTTTGTTCCCCTTAAGGCAGTCGAGTTAGGTAGAACATTTTCAAAAGGACCAATACTAAATGAAAGTAGTAAAATTTAACAAGTGAAAGCCCCATATGGAGAGATTTCCAGCAGCAGAGAGGAGCACCTGCGCTTCCCTCACTCGGCACCTGTGACTCCTGAATGCATTAGGGCTGAGCAAGGGCTTGTTCTCTGTGGACTCTGGATTAGGCCCTGTGACTGGTGGAAAGAATCTGGGAGAAAACTCAGGAATAAGAATGGAGAAAGTGAGATTCAGACCAAAATTACTAGAAAGCCTTGGAAGTAAAGGAGGAAAATCAAACTGGGGAACCAGAAAACCCCCAGACCAGTTAATTAAAACCTCGAGTAACTAGGAGATCCAGAGTTTCCTAAATGAATGGGAATTTCTTGCATTTGAAGAGCTGAGAATAATAATCATGAATCATTCAGAGGAATTGCCCAGTGTCTCAAGCAGAGGGGCATAAAGAAGAGCTGGCACCGATGTCTTCGGCTGACAAGTTTGCAGGGCTCATACTGGACTCCTAAATAGGCCAACTCAAGGCCAAGGAGCAACCCTGGCCCTATCCTTACAGAGAGGCCCTACACAGCTTTCTGGGATACAGATAAAAGGTTGATGCCTTTTCAGGTCCTCTCTGTGCAGACGTGACCATCCCCCCAACTCCTGAGTATCAGCCCCTGTCTATTATTGGTCCCCTATGTGATCTCCAAGAAGGATTTTCGGGTGTCAGACAAGAGCCCTCCACAGTAAGCTCCGTGTCTATTGTCTGCCGTTGTCTGCGGATCCACCAACCCCTAGCAGCAGCCGTCAACCTCTTCTGACCCTGATCTAGATTCTGAACCTAAAGACATTTAGAACTTGGATTCTTGGTTCTGTCTGAATGACCATGCAAGAGGACAACTGTATACCCTGATGCATGACTCCTTCCTCTGCCAGCCCAACATAATGAAAATAAAATGTGCAGTAAATAAAGAAAAAAAGCCCCAACATTTAAAATGTAAAGTTTATAGAAATATAGGTATTGGGCCAGGTGCCATGGCTTGTGCCTGTAATCCCAGCACTTTGGGAGGCTGAGGCAGGCGAATCACCTGAGGTCAGGAGTTCAAGACCAGCCTGACCAACATGGAGAAACCCCATCTCTACCAAAAATACAAAGTTAGCCTGGTGTGGTGGCACATGCCTGTTACTTCAGCTACTCGGGAGGCTGAGGCAGGAGAATCACTTGAGCCGGGGAGGCGGAGGTTGCGGTGAGCCAAGATCACACCATTGCACTTCAGTCTGGGCAACAAGAGCAAAACTCTGTATGGAAAAAAAAAAAAAGTAAGAAAGAAAAAAATGTAGGTGTTTACAGAGCACAGATTTCTCATCCTAAGGCAATGATAGTTAAACTTGGTGGCCATTTGACTGAGCTAGCCCAGCCTACCCTTCTGGGTCTAAGTGGATCTCCCTCCAGTTCTCCCATCCAGAGTCAGCCTTTTAGGCGTGTATTCTAGAGTCACAGCGTTCCTCCCCACTCCCAGTTACAAACCAGCATGTGAATGTCCTGTCTTCTGAGAATCCTTCAATCTTGCCATCTTCCTTTCTGACTGTCTCTCCATTTCCCCACTCCTATCTCTAAAGGATAAGGGTGCTACTTTTTTACGCATGAAAATGTATTAACCTTTTCTTTTGTGTTTTTAGCTCCGTTTACTGCCATGTTTTGGTATCCTCCCATGTGCTTATTTGCTTGCTTCCTCAAAATTTTAACACGCGCCAACTCTGAGCCAGGCAGTGTTTGAGGGGCTGGAGACACGGTGGGAAACAAAACAGAGACGGCTCCAATTTCCTGGAGCTTACATTTTGACTGGGAAATAGACCATAGTCAACTACATAATCACATAACATCACGTGAGTTAGTAATAAGTGCATTGAGGAAAACAGAGCAGGCGGACGGGGTGAGGACGGATGAGGGGGACTGTTTTAGGTGGAGAAGTCAGAGGAGACTTCCCCTCTGAGATGATGTTTGTGCAGCAGCCTGAGGCTCCCAGGGAGTGAGACATGCAGAGACCTGGGGGAAGAGTGTTGTGCAGATGGCTGGGCCCAGGCAAAAGCCTGAGATGGGGGTGAGGCTGGTGTGTTCAGGAAACAGCAAGAAAAAGTGGGAGTCTGAAGATGGTGAGCGCTGAGACAGGGGGGGAGGTGAGGCTGGAGCAGAGGCAGGAGCCAGGCAGGTGGGGGTTACAGGTCTGGAGAGGGAGTTAGAATAAAATCCAAAGTGTAAGGGGAAGCCAGGTGGAGGTTTGGGGTAGGGGAGAAACAGTATCTAATCTACATTGTACAAAGAAGAACATGGCTGCAGCACAGACAACTGCGGATGCTGGAGCCAAGGCAGGGCCGTCAGGCAGTGAGGGCTCCAGACTCCAGCACAGGCGGAGAGGAGCTGTCAGAGCTCGTTCATCAGCGTGGAAGTGGGTAAAAGCGAGAAATCAGTGCGAAAGGGCCAGGATGGATTCTGGTCCTAGTCACTGACATAGGGAGGTCTGGGAGGAAAGCAGGTTTGCAGGGAGAGAAGCGCAAAAGTGAAGAATAATCATGTTTGGGGCTGATTCCATTGCAACCATTACAACACAGGAGGAGGATTCGTAGGGTGTGATTTTCCAGCAACTGAACTCTTCCCCTCACTGTCCATTTAAGCCTGTTCTGTTGGGGTTAGTTCTTCCCCTGCCCTGGGCATTCTCAGATAATAAAAAGCCTCTGGTTATGAAGAGTCTGTTCAGTAACTAACATGGTCAGGCTGGTATAATATAATGACCAACGCTTCAATCTTCATTTAAGGTCCCCTTCCTCCGGTTTGGGGCTACTGAGGCTGGAGCTACACGAAAGAAAAGGGAGGTAAATGTCTTCTCTCTTTCCCCTGTTACTGTCCTATTCCTTACCGCTGTTTCTTGCCACTGTGATTTCTGATCTCTTCAGAGTCCACAGTGGGAGGGAGGAAAGAGAAGAAATGGATGGGCAGGAAAGTTCTTTCCTATTAATTTTATGTTCATCTGTTTTAGTGTAAGGCAGTCTCTGGGCTTGGCAGGGGTTTGAAGCTAATGGTTTCTCTCATGGGGCACTTCCAAGTGATCTTCAGAGAAAATTCCTATTGCTCAGAATTTCTCAATGGATGATTTCTTTTCCAGCTGTTTGCTTAGGACTGTCTCTGGCTCTAAGCATCTGATGGAACTGCCACTACTTCATTTTTAGGAACATAGCCTCTATCACCCTAAGAGATACTGAGACTAAAATTAGATCAATTTCAGTATCTTCGTATATGCCCATCCCATACCCAAGAGGAGATATGCAGTAGGCAGGTGGATGTACAGGTCTGGAATTCATGGGAGACTGGGGGTGGAGATAGGTGTTTGAGGGTCATCCTCGTATAAATGCTGCCTGAAATCATGTGATCACCTCGGGGTGTCAATGAGAATAGGGCCGAAGGCTAGTCCTGTGGAATGCCAAGATATAGAGGTTGGGGCAAGGAGGCAGAGCTGGTGAAGGAACATGCAGGGAGCGAGAGGCTGGTACGGAAGGAAGAAAAGCAGAAGTGTGTGCTGCTGCAGAGGCCCAGTAGAAGAGGGATTTCAGAAAAGAGGGCACTCTCAGCCACGTGGCAATGCTGCTGAGAGGGAGGTAAAATGACGACTGGGGAGATGTATGCGTAACCACTGATTTTCATCAGAGAGGTTAAGTGGAGCAGCTGGAAGGAAAGCTTGATTACAGTGGGTTCAGGAGTGATGGGGTGAGGCTGTGGAGACAGAATAAGCAACGCTTTTGTGGGGTTTTGCCATAAAGTGGCTGGAGAGGGTAAGGCAAGAGAACATTTTTATCAGCGATATGAATATTATAACATGTATGTTTCCTGATGGGAATGCTCCTGTAGAGAGGGAGATTTAATGATGCTGGAGAGAGAGGGGCATAATAGAAGGGCAGAGTCCTTCCGCAGATGAGGAGGCAGCACCCTGGACTCAGGTGGACAGGACACTATCCATTGTATGCGAGGGAAGGCCGCATACATGGATGTACGTCAAACTAGCTCAATGGATTTTGCAAAGGAAGATTGTTTCCTTCTGTTTACTCATTTTCTCAATGAAGTGAGATCATCAGCTGTTAGTGAGACACAGAATAGAGATTTAGAGGTTGAAGAGAAAAGGGAAGTAAGGAACCTAGTATTTTCTAAATCACAACAATCCTAGTGGAAATTAGTTCTCCAAACATGTTGCCATCTGAAAGCTGGGACCACAGGTGTTCCATCAAATCATATCACACATCAGTGATCCACCCCATCTATTTGGCCATATCCCTGAATCTCTAAGTGCTTCTGAATCCAGACAGTGCAAGGAAAGGCTGAGGCAAGAGGCTTGGGGGAGACACTGCCTGTGAAGTGAGTCAGCTGACTCTGGCAGGACAGGCTTCCAGGGGGATCAGCTTAGCTTAGCTGGGGAACTCTTTCTGCTTTTGCAAGCCCCTCATCCCCATACCACACTCAACTCTTCCCTTTTGTCAACTTCAAAAGGTTTTAGCAACCAAGGAGCACACACCCTGATCCTTGATTGGTGAAAGGATACACAAAATAAGGCTGCTTCAGAGGAAGTTGTCTGCTTGCGGGAGTCAGGGTGAAGGCCAAGGAAGGCACTCAAGAATTGTCGTGTCTCTAAGAAAAAGCATCTGCAACAAACTTCCTTTAATTTTTAAGTTCAGTGTCTGTGATAATTAAGAAATGGCAATACCATGTATTTTCCCCAGATGTTAAGAAATATTGCCGAATGAACCCATAAAATTAATTATAGCTACCTTACTTAGTGTCCATCTTCATTTATTTGGTTTGTTCCTAAACTAAGGTATGCTCCCTTTGGTCATGCACCCTTCATGGCCACATCCACATATCCTTCCTGGGTTTTTCTAACATTCTTTATAGAAAATTTAAAAATCCATTTGGGGTTGGCCAGGTGAGGTGGCTAACGCCTGTAATCCCAGCACTTTGGGGAGGACAAGGCAGGTGGATCAGTCGAGTTCAGGAGTTTGAGATAAACCTGGGCAACATGGCAAAAACCTGTTTCTACTAAAAAATAGAAAAATTAGCCAGGTGTGATGGTGCACACCTGTAATCCCAGCTACTTGGGAGGCTGAGGCATGAGAATTGCTTGAACCCTGGAGGTGGAGGCTGTAGTGAGCTGAGATTGTACCACTGCACTCCAGCCTGGGTGACAGAGCAAGACTTCATCTCAAAAACCAAAAAAATCATTTGGGGTATAATTACTTGCTTGCTGATTCTGATTCTAAACATTGCCCTCTGGCTTATATTGAGTTTGAATCCTGGTCACAGGAAGACATGGTAGGACACAGAGCACAGGAGAGTGGAATTCTGTTTTCTTTAGGCAAAGGGACACCATGGTAACGTTTTTAAAAGGACTTGGGGGAGTCTGACTTCTTCAGTTCTGTCTGTTCCCCAAGATCCCCCTCTTTCCTAGTCAATGCCCTAGATTTTATATAAAAGACTGGATGCAATGTTAATCCAACTGGAGTTGCAATTCAGCAGCCTACGGGATCAATTTATGACTTGAGGGCCCCAGATGGAGTAAAATTTATTAAAAATGGTGGCCCTATATTTTAATGCCTTGCATATTCTGGCATCTGAGCTTTATATTGTCTTACTTTATCCATTTTTCTCTCATTCCATATTTCTCATCCTCCTTAAATTATTCTACCATGACAGTTATTCAGTCTCCCAATGTCTCACCCCCAATCAACATATGGTTCTACGTGAAACTAGATTTTTTTATTTTGAAATGGGCTCGTTCTGTTGCCCAGGGTGGAGTGTAGTGGGATGATCACGGCTCACTGCAGACTGGACCTCCCAGGCTCAAGCAATTCTCTGCGGTTCAGCCTCCTGAGCAGCTAGGACTATAGGTGCACACCATCATGCCCAGTTACTTTTTGTAGAGATAGGATTTCACCATGTTGCCCAGGCTGATCTCAAACTCCTGGGCTCAAGTGGTCCACTTGCCTCAGCCTCCCAAAGTGCTAGGATTACAAGCGTGAGCCCTTGCACCCGGCTGAAAACTAGATTTTTAAAAGCTTTATACTATGAACAATTTCAGAGAAGTATAGAAAAATAGTGATAATTATATAATGAATCCTTACGTATCTGACATCCAGCTTCAATACTGATTACCTCATGGCCAGTCTTGCTTTGTGTATATGCATACCTACTTCTTGACCCTAACTGGATGACTTTGAAGCAAATCCCAGATATCGTATCACAAATATAGTTGCCCATTCCACATGGTGAAGAGTAGATGCCTTTCCTTTCCTTGCATTTTGAGATGAATACCAATTCCAAATACCTCACATTTCCTCTGAAGCCTTGTACTATTTCTATATTTAAGATCCTTTGTGTTGTAAGTAGCAAACTAACCACAGCTAACATAAGCACAAATGGAATCCATCGGTCCCTGGTGGTCTGGTGGTTGGAATTAAAAAAAAAAAAAAAAAAGAATCCATTGGAAGAGTGCCAAAGCATCTTAGAGAACCCTGAGAAAAAACTGAATTCCACAGGAAGGGCAGGAACCTTGATAGCACTGGCCCCTGAGAAGTGTACATCTCAGACCCTTCTAAGCTATTGTCATGAACGTGACTCACACCTTTCCAAGTGTCCGTTTTGGTTAGAAGTCTAATCCTAGAAGAAAGCTAGGGGAATCTGATCCCAGAGTTGGGTCAGCTGTGCATTCCTTGACCAATTAGCCACAGCCAAGAACAGGGTCGTGTAGGGAGGCGCTGCCATCGAGTCCACCTCTGGCTGGGCATGGTGGCTTACCCCTGTAATCTGAGCACTTTGGGAGGCTGAGACGGGTGGATCACCTGAGGTTAGGAGTTTGAGACTAGCCTGGCCAACATGGCAAAACCCCACCTCTACCGAAAATACAAAAATTTTAGCCAGGTGTCGTGGTGGGTGCCTATAATCCCAGCCACTCCAGAGAGAGAATCGCTTGAACCTGGGAGGTGGAGGTTGCAGTGAGCTGACACCACTGCATTCCAGCCTGGGCAATAGAGTGAGACTCCGTCTCAAAAAAAAAAAAAAAAAAAAAAAGAGTCTCCCTCTGTGAGTGGAGTCAGGGATTTGCCAGAGAGATGGGACTATGCAGGCATCACTAATCCACCATGTGGAGCAAGGAGGGCAGGAATCACTGAAGAAAGCTGAGCCTGAAAAGCCAGGCAGGAATCTTACAGTCATGGTAAGGGGCTTGGAATTTATGGGGAGACCCTGAAGGATTTTATAATACTCTAGTTCTGGCATTTTTTTCCTTTTATATTACCTCATCAGTTAAAACAGAATTCTAGAAATCACATCAGCATGCAGGGATATTGTTACTGCACCTTGACTTTATCTAGAAGGAGAAAAGTTTTGGTAAATCAGTTCTGTTCCATGAATCAATCAGTCATTAATGCCTTTTCCATAGCCATTCCTCTGTTCAGGTGAGTAAGTTTAGAAATTTCCAAAGTTTTCTTTATAAAAGGCAGCCTATATCTATTTGACACTTTAAAAATCTAGGGCTGGACGCCGTGGCTCACGCCTATAATCCCAGCACTTTGGAAGGCCAAGGTGGGTGGATCATGAGGTCAAGAGATAGAGGCCAGCCTGGCCAAGATGAAGACACCCCGTCTCTACTAAAAATACAAAAATTAGCTGGGCGTGGTGGCATGCACCTGTAGTCCCAGCTACTTAGGAGGCTGAGGTAGGATAACTGCTTGAACCCAGGAGGCGGAGGTTGCAGTGAGCCAAGATCACGCCACTGCACACCAGCCTGGCGACAGAGTGAGGCTCCGTCTTAAAAAAAAACAACTAGGTGCAAGTTTGTTCTTATGGTTAAGGTTAATGTGTACACTTCACAAACACTGGGATTTTTGTTTTCTGAGACAATGTATTCTTCTGTCTCCCAGCTAAAGTGCAGTGATGCAAGCACAGCTCACTTCAGCCTCAACCTCCCGGGCTCAAGTGATCCTCCTTCCTCAGCTGCCTGAGTAGCTGGGACTACAGGTGCATGCCACCATGCCCAGCAAATTTTTAAACTTTTTGTAGAGACGAGGTCCCATTGTGTTGCCCAGGCTGGTCTTGAACACCTGGCCTCAAGCGATCCTCCCATCTTGGCCTCGAAAAGTGCTGGGATTACATGTATGAGCACCATGACTGGCATAGGCATTTTTATTTAAAGAGACTTTTTGGGTAGAAATGCTTTTCTCTGTTACAGTTACAAATGACTAAAAATACTAGCCAGGCCAAAATGGCAACCAGGGGCCTACTGCAAAGCTTCAAAAGGCTTGATGCTCTCTTAGTAGACGAATGTTCAGTGTTTTAAATGTTTTTTTTAATATGTTGACATTGAAATTTCATTTCGTGCAGATGTCGGGATTATGTCTCATTCATTTATTTATTCATCATTCACTTAGTAAGTAAGTATTTAAGTGCCTATTTTTACCAGATGCTCAGGTTCTGGGGATATAAAGATAAGCAGACATAGGCCCTCTGCCCTAAAGTTAGTGGGAGAAACAGATAGTAAACCAAAGATTTTAATACTGTGAGATTAACTGATTTAGTTGTAGTATATAGAAAGAGACACAGGGCCTGCAGCAAGAGCCTGGGTGAAGACTCAGTGAAGCACTACCTATTGAAAGGAGAATCTTTATTTCCACCATGTAAAAAAGACATTGCCAGGGAACATCAAGTAAACAGACAAATGCTCAGATAAGCTTTTAGATCATATGAGATTGAAATAGTTTGATTCAGTAAATCAGGGAAACTTTTGTTTTCAAATGAAGTAAGGAAGCAACTAGGTAGAAATTATAAATCCTATTTTGAATTGCCTTTTGCTTATACTTAATGTAGTTTAAGCCATCAGTGTATTATACCTTTCTGCTGTCTACTCAAATTGCTGTCTACTCAACAGCAATTTTCTGTTTGCCTGCTACTTGGGTCAGTCATGGATGGTCCCATGTTATGAGAAACATGTAAAGGTGAGATAGATTCAGCTCCTTTTCTTGAGAAGATTATTCCATATAAGGAACTAATTTGCTGAATGGGCCCGCAGTTAGCCTGAATAAAATCTCTAAATCATGGTCTACACAGCAGTTATAAGGAACTCTGGCCTCTCAAGTGTCAATGAAGGCCAGCTGGGGTACCTGGATTCCCATCTCCATCTGGCCATAATGTTAAGGTAACCTCATTCACCATGTTAGACTGGTGTTGGAGAAAGCCAGCCAAAACAGAAAGCTTAAGTAAGGTTCAGAATCTCATAAACTGAAAATATTCAGACTTCAATAAAAGATAATCACACCAGGAACCAGGAAGATCTTGAGTTGAATGAAAAAGACAATCAATAGAGACCAACACTGAGATGACAAAGATGTTGGAATAAGCCCACAAAGACTTTTAAAGTTGCTATGAGAAAAATGCTTCAGTGAGCAAATATGAATACACTTGAAGCAAATGAAAAATTAACCCTGAGCAAACAGGAGATATACAGAAGAACCAAACGAAAATCGTAGAATTGAAAATTACAATAACCAAAATAAAAAGCTCAGCAGATAAGCCCAACAGTGGAATGGAGAAGATGGAGGAAATAATCCATGAGCTGGAAGACAGAATGATAGAAATGACCCAATCTGAAAAAAATGAGAAAACAGACTGAGGGCAGGAGGAGGGGGAGAAGAACAGAGGCCTACGGGCTGTAATAATATTCATGTCATCAGAATCCCAGAAGGACGAGAGAAACAGGCAGGACTTAAAAAAAAAAAAACCTGAAAAAACATTGGCTGAAAACAGAGTAATCATTGTAGTGGTGTTAATATCCTGTATCTTGATGGCACCAATGTCAAATCTTGGTTGTGATAATGTACCTTAAACTATTAACAATAATTCCTAGATATCACTAAATACGTAGTGTTTAGTGTTTTCCTGATTGGCCCACGTGGTGTGAAGTCGGTTTCTTCACATCAGAATCCAAACCAGGTCCACCTGTGGCACCTTCGCCCTTCAGTGGGAGCGTGTAAGACGCTGGACGCGTAGCTAAAAACCATTCCTCTCTTACGTTGTCGCCCTCAATCTTACAGGTAAATGGCAAATTCTCTTTGCTATTAATGTACATGCCTCGATGAAAGTCCAGAATGACGGCGGGGGCCTTGGCGGTTGAAGGCCCGTCGGCCCGCCGGGGCCGCGAGGGGAGGGCGAGGGCCAGGTTCTAGGCTTCATCACCGCGTTTCCGTTTGCTGTGAAATCAAATGGCGCCTTCCCTTTCCCCAGACGTCGGCGTTGCGGTCCAGCTGGCTTTGGGGTCGCAACCCGGGGCCTGTGTGGCGCATGCGCCCCCGATAAGCGGGCCCAAGGGCTCCTTCATTCGCAGCAGCACCGGGACGCGGCCGCTGGGGAGCCACACCCAGACGGAGCCGCGGGGCCTGCGACTACCCCCGGAGCTGGCCTGAGGTGGGGCCGGGGGAGGCCTGCGGGCCGGGGCCGCGGAGCCCAGGGAGGGCCGCGGAGCCCAGGGAGTGTCCCGGAGCCCAGGGAG